GATATATCAGTTGCCCCTCTATAAACATGTACATCCTGGAGCCTACCATCAACCTTTTATCCACCAATACATAATCTAACAAACTACTTTCATTACGTGCTACATCATACCTTGTATATTTATTTATCCTCTTTTTCATAAAATATGTGTTACTTATTACCAAATTTCTTTCTACACATAGCTCAATTAAAGACTCCCCATTTACATTTACCCCTGGCACCCCAAATTTACCTACTAACTCCCTCCATAACATTTTTACCCACTTTATCATTGAAATCCCCAACCACCATTACTCTCACACTTGATTCAAAACTCCCCACGCATTCACTCAACATTTCCCAGAATCTCTCTCTCTCCATCTACACTTATTCACTATCCACATCTTTATTTTACTCCACATAATCCTTGAATTTATACATTTGTAGTCCCTCTTTTCCTGCCATAGCTTATCCTTCAACATTATTGCTACTCCTTCTTTAGCTCTAACTCTATTTGAAACCCCTGACCTAATCCCATTTATTCCTCTCCATTGAAACATCCCACCCCCTTCAGCTTTGTTTCACTTAAAGCCAGGACATCCAGTTTCTTCTCATTCATAACATCCACAATCATCTCTTTCTTATCATTTGCACAACATCCACGCACATTCAGACTTCCCACTTTGACAATTTTCTTCTTCTTATTCTTTTTAGTAATCTTTACAGGAAAAGGGGTTACTAGCCCATTGTTCCCGGAATTTTAGTTGACTTTTACAACACGCATGGCTTACGGAGGAAAGATTCTTATTCCACTTCCCCATGGATATAAAAGGAAAAGTAATAAGACCAAGAACTATTAAGATAAAATCAAAGAAAACTCAGATGAGTGTGTATAAATAAACGTGTACATGTATGTGTAGTGTGACCTAAGTGTAAGTAGAAGTAGCAAGACGTACCTGTAATCTTGCATATTTATGAGACAGACAAAAGACACCAGCAATCCTACCATCATGTAAAACAATTACAGGCTTTCGTTTTACACTCACTTGGCAGGACGGTAGTACCTCCCTGGGTGGTTGCTGTCTACCAACCTACTACCTGATTATTATGTATATATATAATTATTACCTTTTCATATAATTTTATATTGCTTATATTTGCGATAATAGCTAAATCGTAAATGTATTGCTTTATATTGTTATTTGACTTATGTTGTTAGGATGTAACATATTATGTGCTCAGTTCAAGTCTTGATTGTCAAACTACTGTAATTATCGCTTGTTGCTCATTATACTGCCGGCTTCTGCTTCTTGATGGGCGACTGCTGCCCACGGAGTTATCACGTGATCGAGGGGGGGGTGTCCTCACCTCGTCTGAAGTATTCAGTCTGCTCTAGACTCTCTTGGTGGTTGGACAGATTGTCTGTCTCATTATTCTTGTTAGTTCTGTAGAACTCTGTTCACAGAACATTGTATAGACTTAGTGATTTTCGACGTTGTACTGAGGTTGTGTGTCACTTAGACACTCCGAGCATCTCAGGTCCTGAGCTGTTGCTTCTGACTTAATTTGTACTGGTTTCTGTGTATGATCACAGTTGGGTATTTTCTTATGCTGAACTTAGATTCAGTATTATGGGAGTTTTGTGACTTTTGTGGAGGATCTGCTGATGGTCCCTACTAGCTGTCGTTATATTATCTCCTTGTTCCTGATTCTGTGTCGCAGTTGCTTGTTATATTGTTGTTCGGCTTATCAGTCGTTTTGTTGTTCAAGCAGACTGTTCTGGTTGCCAGTCGGTCAAGAAGTTAGTTTATTTAAGGACTTTGTCAGTCACTTGTTTAAGTCTAGTCGAGTCGTGAGACATAACGAACTACTTAGAGCACTTACACGCATACACAAACTTGTACATATTTGTAATATCTTATTAAATGTTAATGTACCAGACGGTACTTAAGAATTATAAATGTGATATGTGCTTTCAGCACAATAATATTGAACTCGAGAGAATTGATATTATTTTGATTACTGTGATTAATTTAATTTAATTTGGTAATATACCTCTAGACTTAATAAATTTATTAAATTTTAATTTCTCTAGTTAGTAGCCTACCAGTTGTAATCCTGAAGCACTATTAATTCATATTGAATTCTAATGGATAATTGGACAAGGATACTGACTACTTGTTACGAAAACCCAGTAACAGGCTGGATGCTAGAAGGGCAGTCCTTTCTAGTATTCACTGGAGATCTCTAAGCTTTTAGAATCGCGTTTTTTGTAACAGCAAGCTTTCTTTGATTAATTAAGAGTGAAAAAATAAAGGTAATAGTAATAAGTGAAATTTTAGAAAGGGGTTATACTATTTCTCCTAAACATCTTACATCGGTATCACAAGTTCACTTGCAATTTAACTGGGGGCCTTGTTACACAGCCTTTCATTATCTAAATTGTGCATTAATTTATTTTATCAAATCAAGATGTTTATAAACCAAATATAAAGCTAAATATAGAAGCATCAATGTAGAATTCCAAATAAATGCAAGTCAAAATGAGTTTAGCAGTTTTGTAAATAAAATAATAATACGTATACTTCTTATTCTTAATATTATTACAGTGGAACCTCAAATATCTAACTGCTTCCAACTCAACCAATTATGTAAGTGTATTTTTGTAAGTGCTTTTATAAGTTTATTTTTGAAGGTCTGAAATGAACTAGTCTAATTTACATTATTATTTTTTTTTTTTATTATCACACCGGCCGATTCCCACCAAGGCAGGGTGGCCCGAAAAAGAAAAACTTTCACCATCATTCATCCATCACTGTCTTGCCAGAAGGGTGCTTTACACTACAGTTTTTAAACTGCAACATTAACACCCCTCCTTCAGAGTGCAGGCACTGTACTTCCCATCTCCAGGACTCAAGTCCGGCCTGCCGGTTTCCCTGAATCCCTTCATAAATGTTACTTTGCTCACACTCCAACAGCACGCAAATATAAAAACCATTTGCTCCATTCATCCATCAAACACGCTCACGCATGCCTGCTGGAAGTCAAGCCCTCGCACACAAAACCTCTTTACCCCCTCCCTCCAACCCTTACTAAGGCCGACCCCTACCCCGCTATCCTCCACTACAGACTGATACACTCTTGAAGTCATTCGTTCGCTCCATTCTCTCTACATGTCCGAACCACCTCACAACCTTCCTCACCCTCTGGACAACATTTGGTATCCCGCCCTCCTCCTACTTCCAAACACAATTCTCTGCTTTATTCACACCACAATGCCCTCAGACATGACATCCACTGCCTCCCGCCTTCTCCTCGCTGCAACATTCATCACCCACGCTTCACACCCATATAAGAGCGTTGGTAAAACTATACTCTCATACATTCCCCTCTTGCCTCCAAGGACAAAGTTCTTTGTCTCCACAGACTCCTAAGTGCACCACTCACTCTTTTTCCCTCATCAATTCTATGATTCACCTCATCTTTCATAGACCCATTCCTGACAGGAATAAATTTGTTCGGTAATGGCACTCGAACAGCTGTCTGGAACGAAGAGAGTTCGATATTTGAGGTTCCACTGTATTATTAATTGTCATTCATCATCATCATCATCAGTCATCAAAATGAAATGTTGCAATCTTCAACATGTTGGCCTAAATAGTGTAGTTGCTAAATAACAAAAAAAGACACAATACCGTGACTGGAACGATACACAAATAACCCGCACATAGAAGAGAGGAGCTTACGACGACGTTTCGGTCCGACTTGGACCATTTACAAAGTCACACTGTGACTTTGTAAATGGTCCAAGTCAGACCAAAATGTCGTCGTAAGCTCCTCTCTTCTATGTGCGGGTTATTTGTGTATAGTGTAGTTGCTAGCTGCTTCAGCTACAACCTACATCTAAACTAGAGTCTGCAGTGTTTTTGACCAACCTGACTAATCTTAGAAATGAATACAGCCTCTCTTCACTTAGCAACGTACTCATTTACAATGATTTGGACTTTCGACGGGTTCTCTGACCAGTATGCATACATAAATAATGTATATTAGAGCTGATTTCCTCTATTCTGTTTATTACAATATACAGTACACTGCTCTATAAACATTTAAAAATATACCAGAAATGTTATAAATGGTGCAAAGGTGACATTAAAACATTTTCAAAGATGGTTGACACAAACCCACTACCATTATAGTATGCTCCTCACTTAGCGACAAATTCATTTACCAACGTGGTCTTAGCAACAGAACTCCGTCGTTACGTGAGGAGAGGCTGTACTACGTAGCCTCTCCTCACTTAATGATGGAGTTCTGTTTCTAGCAAATGAATTCATTGCTAAGTAAGGAGCATACTATAATGGTGGTGGGTTTGTGTAAACCATCTTTGATATTGCACCATTTATAACATTTTCAGCATATTTTTAAATGTTTATACAGTAGTGTACTGTATATTGTAATAAACAGAATAGAGGAAATCAGCTGTAATATACATTATTTAGGTATGCGTACTGGTCAGAGAGCCCGTTGTAAGTCCCAGTTGTCGGTAAATGATTACATCACTAAGTGAGGAGAGGCTGTGTTATGAACTCTTTGCCAAAACCATCATTTTTTTTAACTTAATAGCTAAATGACTCGCATGGCTTTACCAGGTAATGCTTTCTTATACAGATACAAATCTTTATTTCAAAATTACTTTACTTAGGGCATACGTTATAGAACATTCTGGCAGGGTGACACTACCAGTGGTATCAAAATTGAAAGGATGTTACACATTGGTTATTATTGAGGGTTTTGATATTTCCTCAGTATCTGCTGTGAGTGGTAGTGTATCTGAAGCTCGCTTGTAACTCGGATTTTGGTTCGCTACTCAAAGCAAAAAAATCGACCGAGCGACGGCTCGTAACTCGGAAAATTCATAAGTTGGGGTACTCATAAGTCAAGGTACCACTGTATCAATATAAACCTTACTATCTTTGTTTTATTTTATTGCTATAATGTAATACTTTTTTTTTATTTCAGACTCAGTGTTCGTGAAAAAATACTGGCATTGGCCTTCTACCTACAAAGCCCAGCATTATACAAATGGTTGAGGGCAATTTTTCACTTGCCCTCAAAGTTGATCTTAGAACGATGGCTGGAAGGCATTGCCAAGAGAGATCCAGAGGCAGTAAAAAAAATTATGTATCACATTTATACTCAATATGTCTTCAGGTCTTAGTATTATTATAATGTGAGGCTAATAATTTATAAAAGAATATGTACAGAAGTTGTACAAAACTATTAATCTATACTGAAAGAATTTTCATTAACCTTTATTACAAATAAAACCAAAAAAATGGGAATTCAAAGCAAAAAATTCTAAATAAATGTAACAAAATAGTTTTATTGCAAGACATAAATTATTCATAATTTAACAAAATTGTGGATAGTGCTGAAAAAAAGTTATGAAACTTTCCCTTCATGGGAGGATCCTTGATACCAGTGATGGTCTCTTGATCTTAGGAATTAGACCAATGCTCCCTTTCCTTGTATCAACCATTTTGCCAAGTGTTGTATGCCCCATACATATTTAACATTCCTCATGAATGTAATAATAAAAAGGAATTTTACATAAAATAACTAGTCCTAGAGGGCTTCAAATATTAACCAGGAGTATCTATGTACAGTGGAACCTTGGTAATCTAACTTAATTCATTCCAGAAAGCTATTTGAATACCAATCTGAGTACTGAACAAATTTTTAACAACCAATTTTCTTTTTTTTGTTGGCTGTTATCACTAATCTTATTAGGCCCCATGGTAACTTATTTATACAAATAATGTAAAAGAAAAAAAACTAAAAAATGCAAAGAAACATGAAATAGCTTAGTGAAGTTCTGGCAGGTCATGTTTGTTTGGTCAAGTGCCGAGCAAATGGTCAACTACCGACTGCTTTCTTTTTTACCAAAGCGGTCGAATGCTGAATTGGTGAGACTCATTCTGGATGTGGGTCTAAGAGAGCATGTAGGCCAGAATGAATTTTAACAATCAACTAAAGCTAAATTATGTTTATAGAATTGCTCACAACCAGTGTCCCCAATATCTTGTTGACAATTTTGTTAAAGCTGGGAACCAGTGCAATTACAGAACTAGGGGAAGGGAGAACAAATTTGTAGTACCTAGAGTCAGTGGTAAGGCTTTAAAGACATTTTTCTGTACTGCTATAAAAGAGTGTAATAGACTGCCTGCACATGTTAAAGCCTGTCATAGCATGAGCCAGTTTAAGAGGAGAGCCAAAATATACCTCATGAATAAGGCTACAGAAAGGGAGGAGAGTCATTTCTTGTATGAAAATAACAAATTTTGTCTCTCCTCTAGTAGTGTATCTTTTATTGTAACTGTTTTTACATAGTTAAGATTATTATTATAATCTTGGGGGGAGTGCTAAATCCATAGGGATTATATAGCACCTGTGGAAGGAGGGGGTGATGGAAGGTATTCAGACTCAATTCAGGGAACTGGATCAGATCCATTTCCCTAGATGAAGAGCCCCTCACCAGTGTCAAGGAACCTTCCCTGATGGGTATAGTTAAGATACCTGTTCTTAACTTTTAAATTTAAATAATTATCACAAGGACCCCAATGGAAGCAAGTCACTCTGTTTGACTTTTTGGGTTATTCTAGGTTCTCTACACATATGCTGCTATGTATGATATTCTATGTAACTGTGTATACCTGAATAAACTTACTTAATTGTTCGAGTACTGAGGTTCCACTGTATATTTTTATATATATTTTTTAATACACTGCTATACGTAAGTTTATTCAGGTACTGGTGCACATAAATACAGTTACATACATTATTATACATAGCAGCACATATGTAGATTACCTAGGATGACTTAAAAGACCTCTGTATCTGACCTAAGGCCATTACCAGTTGAACCAAATGCATTAGTGCATAACTGTTCGCAATAAAGTGAACAGAATCCTTGGCTTTATATCAAGAAGCATAAATAATAGGAGTCCTCAGGTTGTTCTTCAACTCTATATATCTTTGGTTAGGCCTCATTTAGATTATGCTGCATAGATTTGGTCACCGTATTACAGAATGGATATAAATGCTCTAGAAAACATACAAAGGAAGATGACAAAGTTGATCCCATGTATCAGAAACCTTCCCTATGAGGATAGACTGAGGGTCCTGAATCTGCACTCTCTAGAAAGGCATAGAATTAGGGGGGGGATACGATTGAGGTGTATAAATGGAAAGCAAGAATAAATAAAGGATATGTAAATAGCGTACTAGAAATATCTAGCCTAGACAGGACTCGCAGCAATGGATTTAAGTTGGAAAAATTTAGATTCAGGAAGGATATAGGAAAGTACTGGTTTGGTAATAGAGTTGTGGATGAGTGGAACAAACTCCCAAGTACAGTTATTGAGGCTAAAATGTTGTGTAGTTTTAAAAATAGGTTAGATAAATACATGAGTGGGTGTGAGTTTGACCTGACTAACTTGTGCTACTAGGTCAGATGTCGTGCTCCTTCCTTAAGTGAATGTGACCTGACCTGACTAGTTGAAGGGATTGGCTTAAGCCGACAGGAGAATTGGACCTGTCTCGCATGGGCCAGTAGGCCTGCTGTAGTGTTCTTTCTTATGTTCTTATGTACATACTTTGCTCATGGGACACTTGCACCTGCTAATAACTGCATGAATTCTTTCTGGTACAGTAAACCAAACTAGAAACTTGAAAAGTTGAAACCTATGGAAAATTTGGAGGAAGAAAAAGGAAAAAAAATACTTGTTGCCATCTTGAAAGTATCTCTTCAGGGATACCTAATTACTCCTTCCTTGGTTTTTAGATCAATATATGACTAAAAGTGAGTAAGGTTATCCTTATTTGTGGGTTTCCTATAAACAGTTTGACTCTGTCCTTGTATGGTCAGTGTGATGCCCAGTACTGGTATTGTCATCAATTTCTTCCTCCAGGATGAACTGTACTGAAGGTTAAAGTTGGTTGAATTGGTTTTTAAAGTGTTTTAATATAAAGCGCCAAAGGACTACCGCTAAATGCCGTGCTCCTTCCTTAAGTGAATGTGACTTGACCTGACTAGGTTAGGGCATTGGCTTAAGCCGGTTGGAGAAATGGACCTGCCTCGCATGGGCCAGTGGGCCTGCTGCAGTGTTCCTTCTTTCTTATGTTCTTATGACTATAAATAAATAATCCAGTTCCCTGAATTAAGCCTGAATGCCTTCCACATCCCCCCCCCACAGGCGTTGTATAATCCTACGGGTTTAGTGCTTCCCTTAATATTAATAATAATAATAATGATAAATATAAACAATTACCTGAATATATTCACCAATCTGACTTCCCAAAAAAATGAGCAATTTTTGTATTTGTCATGACAAAAGAACCAACGTAAAAGTTATAAATTTGTTCGAATATTCTTCAGGCGAAATTCATTAAACCTTACATTGTTAATAATTGTCACTGTTAGTCATTGTCACTCAATAAATACATAAAAAATAATTTTCATGTGGTTAAATAACGCGTACAAATATAAGCTGACAAAATTTTATATATTTATAAAACAAAACCAAAGTCAAGGCACGAACACATTAGGCAAGTAAACAACAACAGTTATACTTCTCATTTCGTTGTTACAATGGCACTTGTTGCATATAGTGATGACAGTGACATTGGTAGTGACTCTGAAGAGACAGAAAAGCCTTTGGACAGTTCAGCTAGTAAAGAATTTAAAGACGAAATTAGAGTAGATGACGTTAATGTGAGAGGATTGTGTGTGGTAGAGAGTAATTCTGTCAACTCTCAAGTGCCACACAATACTGACTCTACATCACATGGAGTTAATAGTATAGTTGATGATGATGATGATATTAATTTAGAAACTAAAAGCTGTGGTTTACTGTCATCAATACCAGCAGCAAAGCCACTTCCAGTTGCTGGACATGGACTTAACCTTGGTGAGGAGGATGAGTTGACTGATGTGCCAACCGTTGATACCTGGAACATTACACAGCAACTTAAAAAACACAGAAATGATATCAATATAGTCTCACCTATGCCTGTAAAGTCAGCAACAGATTCTATATCAAAATCAAAAAAGAAAAGAAAAGTTCAGTTTTTTGTGCCTGCTCTTTCTGAGGTATGTTATTAATGCAAAATTTTGTTCACAATTGAAGTAATGTACGAGTCTTTAACGAAGGTGCCTTGCTGAGAGGCTCTTGATCCAGTGCCTTGGAGTCATTTTCTTCCCTTGGATCAAACCTGGTTATTTCCCATTCCCCTGGTGCTGTATGACTCACAATCCTTGTTATATGTCACTTTGCTTGCTTATATCCTAATAAATATTATTTCTAGGTAGTAGGCTAGTAGACAGCAGCCATCCAGGGAAGTATTACGATCCTCTCAAATGAGTTCTGTTGTCTGTTAAGTGATTATGGGGATTATTTACCCCATGACCCAGCCTCAGACCAGGTATCAGTTGCAAAGGAAATATTACGGTAGTACTTAATAATTTTTTTATAATCAGGCAGAATTGCTGATCATTTCAGTAATTTTTTTAATTTGTGCCTCAAGATAATTTTTGTGATTATTTATATGAGCATAACTTGCTAATATAGGTAGGTAGGTTGGTAGACAGCAACCAGCCAGGGAGGTACCACCATCCTACCAAGTGAGTGTAAAACTGAAGCCTGTATTTGTTTTACATGATGGTAGGATTGCTAGTGTCTTTTTTCTGCCTTATAAACATGCAAGATTTCAGGTATGTCTTGCTACTTCTACTTACACTTAGGTCACACTACACATGCAGGTACATGTTTATGTATACACACCCATCTGAGTTTTCTTTGATTTTATCTGAATAGTTCTTGTTCTTATTGTTTTTCTTTTCATATCCATGGGGAAGTAGAATAAGAATCTTCCCTCCGTAAGACATGCATGTTGTGAAAGTCAACTAAAATGCCGGGAGCAATGGGCTAGTAACCCCTTTTCCCATATAACTTACTAAAAGAAAGAGAAGAAAACCGTCAAAGTGGGATGTTTGAAAATACGTGGATGTTGTGCGAATGATAAGAAAGAGATGATTGTAGATGTTATGAATGAAAAGAAGCAGGATGTCCTGGCTTTAAGTGAAACAAAGCTGAAGGTGGTAGGAGAGTTTCACTGGGGAGAATTAAATGACATTAGGTCAGGGATTTCTAATAGAGTTAGAGCTAAGGAAGTAGTAGCAATAATGTTGAAGGATAAGTTATGGCAGGAAGAGAGGGAATATAATTGTATAAATTCAAGGAGTATGTAGAGTAAAATTAGGGTTGGATGTGAAAAGTGGGTTATAGTAAGCGTTTAGGCACCTGGGGAAGAGGGAAGTATGGAGGAGAGAGAGATTTTGAGAAATGTTGAGTGAGTGCATGGGAAGTTTTTGCTAAAGTGGGTAAAAATGTTGTGGAGGGAGTAGTAGGTAAATTTGGGGTGCCAAAGGTAAATGAAAATGGGGAGCCTTTAATTGAACTATATGTAGAAGGAGGTTTGGCAATAAGTAATAGGTATGTTATGAAAAAGAGGATAAACAAGTATACAAGGTATGATATAGCATGTAATGAAAGTAGTTTGTTAGATTATGTATTGGTGGATAAAAAGTTGATGGGCAGGCTTCAGGATGTACAGGTTTATAGAGGGGCAATGGATATATCGGATCATTATTTAGTTGTAGCTACAGTTAGAGTAAGAGGTAGATGGGACAAAGCGAAAATGGCAACAGTAAGTAAGAGAGAGGTGAAAGTGTATAAACTAAGAAAGGAAGAAGTTACGGTAAGATATAAGCAATTATTGGAAGAAAGGTGGGATAGTGCAAGTATGGGTAATGGGGGGGGGGGGTTGAAGAGGGATGGAATAGTATTCAAAATGCAGTATTAGAATGTGGGGCAGAAGTTTGTGGCTATAGGAGGAAAGAGGAGTGACTAGTGGAATGATGAAGTAAAGGGTGTGATAAAAGAGAAAAAGGTAATATCTGAGAGGTTTTTACAAAGCAAAGTGATACAAGAGGAGCAGAGTATATGGTGAATAAAAGAAAGGCAAAGAGAGTGGTGAGAGAGTGCAAAAGGAGAGCAAATGATAGAGCGGGAGAGACACTTTCAAGAAATTTTGTTGAAAATAAGAAAAAAATTTGGAGTGAGATAAACAAGTTAAGAAAGCCTAGGGAACGAATGGATTTGTCAATTAAAAACAGAGTAGGGGAGTTAGATGGTGAACTGGAGGTATTGGGTAGATGGCGGGAATATTTTGAGGAACTTTTAAATGTTGATGAAGAAAGGGAGGGTAATTTCATGCACTGGCCAGGGAGGTATAACATCTTTTAGGAGTGAAGAAGAGCAGGATGTGTGTGTGGGGGAGGTGCGTGAGGCAGTTATGTAGAATAAAAGGGGGTAAAGTAGCTGGAACTGATGGTATCATGACAAAGGTTAAAAGCAGGGAGGGATATAGTGTTGGAGTGGTTGGTGTTTTTGTTTAATAAATATATGAAAGTGGGGAAGGTACCTAGGGATTGGCAAAGAGCATGCATAGTTCCTTTATATAAAGGGAAGGGGAACAAAAGAGATTGTAAAAATTATAGGGGAATAAGTTTACTGAGTATACCAGGTAGTGTACAGTAGGGTTATTATTGAAAAAATTAGAGGTAGGACAGAGAGTAGGATTACAGATGAGCAAGGAGGCTTTAGAGTGGGTAGGGGATGTGTAGATCAAGTGTTTATATTGAAGCATATATGTGAACAGTATTTAGATAAAGGTAGGGAAGTTTTCATTGCATATATGGATTTAGAAAAGGCATATGATTGAGTGGGTAGGGGAGCAATGTGGCAGATGTTGCAAGTGTATGGAATAGGTACTAAGCTTCTAAATGCTGTAAAGAGCTTTTATGAGGATAGTGAGGCTCAGGTTAGGGTATGTAGGAGAGAGGGAGATGATTTCCCAGTAAAATTAGGTCTTAGAGAGGAATGTGTAATGTCACCACGGTTGTTTAATATATTTAAAGATGGGGTTGTAAAAGAAGTAAATGCTAGGGTGTTGGGGATAGGGGTGGGATTAAATTATGGGGAATCAAATACAAAATGGGAATTGACAGTTACTTTTTGTTGATGATACTGTGCTTTTGGGAGATTCTAAAGAAAAGTTGCAAAGGTTAGTGGATGAGTTAAGGAGGGTGTGTAAAGGTAGTAAGTTGAAAGTGAATATAGATAAGAGTAAGGTGATGAAGGTATCAAATGATTTAGATAAAGAAAAATTGGATATCACATTTGAGAAAGGGAGTATGGAAGAAGTGAATGTTTTCAGATACAGTGGAACCTTGGCTTACAAACTTAATCTGGTCCTTGACCTTGTTCGTATCCTGATTTGTTCATATGCTGAGTCAGTTTTCCTCATTTAAATTAATTGAAATGCAATTAATCCGTTCCAGCCTGTCAGTAGGCATGACAAAATAATGCTAATATCAACTCTGTGGCTTAGTTATCTGTCACTATTCATCTAATATGACATAAACAATATTAATAACATAGAAACATGATATATACCCTAGAATGAATAAAATAGGCCATGATATGACGAGTGATGGCAACGCTGGCGGCAGCACCCTGTCACCATTTACTTTCCCACTCTAGAATCTTCCCAGTCTTCGTTTCTCCAGTTTTTTTCATAGTTTCTAATTGCTTCCTGAGCTTCTTGCTGATTGTACATGAATACTATGTCTTTGGGTGAGGCATTGTGTGAGAAATTTGTACAGTATAAGACAAAATTACGCATCCCAAGGGTCTGCTGCGGTCACTCACAGCGGCTCACCTCCTCCCCCCTTCAAATTCAAATTCAATTCAAAGTTTATTCTCTATAAGGATTACAATGCTGAGTTTACAGAATTTGGTTATTGTGTGGTTTACATGTAGTAAAATAATAATTACAGAGTGTACCACTAGAACACCTAGCATGGCTAGGCATTTCGGGCAGACTTAAATCGAATCTTAAGTTTAAAATATTACAGAATTATGAGGTAAGTTGGTATTATGGCTAAGTGACTAAATACTAGTTTGTGAGTTTAGCAATGTGAATGCTTTTGTTTTGGCACTATACATAGTTTCAGTATTGGAGTATCACAGGCCAACTTATGACTAGTTAAGATTCATTATTTTAAGATTGAGATTAGTATTTCTGTTTATGGTCAAATGGGTGAGTGAGTGTAAGTGTTAACCACCAGGTCGTATTCGTGTAATTAGTTGACAGGGTGTATCAGGGAGATAAGATGTTTTGTGATAGTAGTTTTGAAGGTGATGAATGTGTCTGCAGTTTTAGAATTTTCACGTAGGGTGTTCCAGATTTTAGGGCCTTTGACGTACATTGAATTTTTGTAAAGGTTTAGTCGGACACGGGGAATGTCATAGAGATGTTTGTGTCTGGTGTTGTGCCTGTGGGTTCTGTCACAACTATCAAGAAAGCATTTTAGGTCAAGGTTAATATTGGAATTTAAGGTCCTGTAGATGTAGATTGCACAGTAGTAAGTGTGGATGTACTGAACAGGGAGTAAGTTTAGATCTATGAAGAGTCCGGGGGGGTGTGTTGCCAGGGATGGGATTTAGTGATTATTCTTACTGCGGCTTTTTGTTGGGTTATTATTGGCTTTAGGTGTGTTGCTGCAGTTGAACCCCAAGCACAGATAGCATAGGTGAGGTATGGATATATAAGTGAATGGTATAATGTGAGAAGGGCAGTTTGCGGCACGTAGTATCGTATCTTGGAGAGGATCCCTTTTGACCCTTGGTTGGCACTGAGATAGCCGTGGTCTAGCAGCTGTACCTACAGCCACCCAGAGGGTTACCAATTTGTATTTTGAAGCATTTGGCACAAAAATATGAAAAAAAAAATTATGAAAAATATCTAAAAATAACATATTATTACTACTACTATTATATTGTATTATTATTTTTATAATTTTTATTATTCTTAGTATGTACATATAATTATTATTAATACATATTATAATTATTATTATATTATTGTTATAATTATTATTCTTAGTATGTATTATTATAATTATTAATACATATAATTATTATTATTATTATTATTATTATTATTAGTATGAACATATTATAATTA